GTATAAGGGGTGTCAATCCAAGGATGTGGAAGCTAGACACTAAGCTATGTGATCTATTTCTTAATTCAAGCAAACAAGTGGGGATTTGATTCAAACAGATGATTAACTACAAACTTAAACAAAATTAAAACTAAGAAAATGATCAAAAGCAAGAAACTAGCAATAGCATATGACAAATGAGATGATATGGAATGATGGAAGTATGAGATTCTAGACATGATAGCTGGTTAGAGTGCTTTGGTGCCATACTAAAATGCTAATGATAATAATGAAACATGATTCAAATGATTTAGAACTCTAATCAAGCCTTAATCTTTCCCAAGCATCAAGACACAAATCAAGTTATTTCACATACCCAATCATCATTGGAGATCAAACAACAAGACAGCATTTATAATCAGTTCTAAGACATCATTTATGCAAATAACAAAACATCATCATGTGGTTAATGCATAAACCTCTAATATATCTCTTTCAGGAATTTCATCAAACACTTTTGGTGCATGAAATTTCCAGATTCTAGATCACAAGTGATGTGCAAGGATCTAGCTTAGAGAACAGCTATTTAGAGAGATAAAAGCATGGATCTAGCCCTAAGCACTCATAATCTAAGACTTTAGCACCATAAACCTACACATCTAGAACCTTATTAGGTGAATTACTCACTTATCATACTAATCTCTCTTAAACCTTTACAAGTAAAGTATATTGGCATGATTAATGATAAGAGATGAAGATGGATAAGATAGATGATGATGGAAAGATGATTAAAACTCTTTGACTCTCTTGGATTAGACATAAAATGGGAGATATCTCTCTCAAAAGGTGTTCTTTCCCAAAAGAGGCAAAAAGCTTAAGGGAATAAGAGGTTGTCCATTGGAAAAAACCCTAAAAAGACTTATATAGTGCCTCTTGCAGACCGGGTCAGCCCAGGACAAACTGGGTACTGACCCGGCTTCAAATGGGTCATGTCTCAAGTGTGCGACATGGTCAGGTGCTTCCCAAGTCCCAGGCCCAAGTCGCACAGCCATAGAAACAGCCTTGTGCGCCATAAATTCCTCAGCCTCAGCTGCATGCCTATCTAGGTGTAAACCGCGAGTGTTTGTGCTGTTCAGGCTTTCTTCTCTTCAACTCGCACAACCAAGACGCATTCTGGAGAGAATATGTGTGCCAGTTGGTCATCTTTAGTCCCAAGTCGCAGGCCCAAGTCGGTGTAAACAGCGAGTCTTTCTGCAGTTCAGTTCTTTGCTCAGCCAGCATGCATTCCTAAGTCGTACAGCTTGTGGACTTAGCATTTTTCCTGCTCGGGGGTCTTTGGTCTCACTCAGGGTTTCCTTACCCACACATTTCCACACGCAGCTCATTTCCAGAATTTAAATCTTTAGGCACTGCGAGTTAACCAAGTCGCAAAACTATCTTGCAGACTTCAAGTCTTCTCAGACCACTTCGCATTTGGGAGAGAGTAACTTTCATGATATAGATCCAAATGGCTTGATTCCAACTTCAGTGAAAGGACCACTCAAATATCTAAAACTTTGGCGAAGAAACCTTCAGATCTTGGGAAGTGGAAGGTTCCCTGGACGGCTCATCTCTGCAGCACATTGAAATGATAAAAAAGAAGCTCTTGGACCAGTGTTCACTCCGGAGACGGTATCGTTCAGCACACAGCTTCAAACTGGATGATCTCAGACGTTCTGGAAAGAGTACTAAAATAATTTGAATCTTGATGAAGGCTCCGGCAACTGAATCAGACTGGAAAGGCAACGTCCCACGCATTCTTTATGACTCATCTTATCGGTCTTGAAACTGTCGCGAGACAGGTGTGTCTTCCGGTGAGCTCAACTCTCAGATCACAAATCCAAATCCAATTATTCTACCTGTTCTGGATCCGTGACCTGCTCATCTCCAATTTTCTGAAGACCCAGTAAACTGAATCGGACGTTAAAACTCCCCGGACAGGTAATTTTTCAGACCTACCGGATTACTCCGGAATGGACGCGAGATAGGTCTATCTTCCGGTGGCCGTATATTTCAGCTCGTTGTTCCAAATTCATCGATTCCAACTGTTCTGAAATCTAGACTCAATTTTCTTGATCTTTACTGAAGACTCCTGAGGCTTAATCGGCCGGAAAGACCTTCCGGTAAACCAATTTTGGAGATGTATCCGCACCCGAGATTTTTGGCCGAGAACCTTGAACAGCCGGTATGTGTTTTGGCCGAGAAATCTACCCGCGGTACATGAAAATCGCCGAGAAAAAGCTTCCCGCGGTACAGGCTATCGCCGAGAACCTCCAAAAGGCTGCTTTCACCATTTTTAAAGCTCCATTCACCATTTCTTCTCGTGGCTTCATCTTTTCAGGTCCAAACTGCTTCCATATCACTTGTCAACACTCCAAAACATGCAAGGCTCACTTGGACCTAATGCAAACCCATAAATCCTAAAACAACACCTAAAGACCTAAAATGAAAGAAATAAGATATGATTTAGAATGAAATGTACAACCTAAATGATGCAAATTATGAACATATCACTGATCCCTCTCATTCTTTACCACTGTGACACCACCTTTCTTGGGCACCGCATGGACAGGAGATACCCATCTTGAGTCAGAAATTGGGTATATTATCCCTGCCTCAAGAAGCTTGAGTATCTCCTTCTTAACCACCTCCTTAAGGTTCGGGTTAAGACATCTTTGATGCTCAATAGAAGACATAGATTGGTCTTCTAGGTGGATCCTGTGGGTGCAAATGTCAGGAGAGGTGCCTCTAATATCGGCCAAAGAATAACTTATTGCTCTCCTGAACGTTCTAAGCTCGCTAAGCAATGCATGTTCTTCATGAGCTAACAGGTTATCGTTTATGATTATGGGGTATGAAGATTTTGAGCATAAGAACGCATACCTGAGCCCTGTTGGTAGAGGCTTGAGCTCAACAGGGGGTGCTTTTGCCTCATCCCAATCAGCATCAAAGCTGCATTGCTCCGAAGCAGCTCCCTCAGCATAGGTTTACTCTCGCGGTTTACCACTGTCGTCGGCTTGTGATGCCGCGGCCATGATACCCCGAGATGTCTCCCCAAATGTGTTGGACCCTCTGATGACCAAAACCTCGAGACCACTCTGTTTAAGCTCAAAGAATCTCATCTCAGCTTCAAGTTCCCTCGGCTGATCCAAGAAACGCTTGTAGACCTCACTTTCTTCATTCAAGAACCCGTGCTCACTTTGTTCCTTTGGTCATCTGTGTTTAACTCTTCAAGGAGCTCATCAGCTAGCTCCTCCATGGTTTCTATGTAGAAGACCTGACCTCCAATGGTCGGTTTCTTCAACATTTCCTTCACATCAAACTTCATAGTTTCAGAACCGATGTGCAGCTCGATCATGCCTCCTCTTATGTCATTGATCGCTCCTGCTGTTGCCAAAAAGGGTCTCCCCAAGATGATGGGATCAATAGGCTCTTCGTCCATCTCTAAGACTATAAAGTTTGTGGGGATCTCTATCTCACCGATTCTTAAAGGCAGATCCTCAAGTAAGCCAATTGGTAGCCTTACTGATCTATCCTCAAGAACAAGAGAGATTTTTGCCGGTTTATAGCTCTTGAACCTAAGTCTTTTAGCCACAGAATAAGGTATTAAGCTCACAGAAGATCCCAAGTCACATAGACAGCTTGAAAACTTTAGAGGACCGATCGCACATGGCAAGGTGAAACTACCAGGATCTGATAATTTTTTTGGCACTGATCTCCTTTGAATGATGGCACTGCACTCATGACTCAAGATAACCATCCCTTAGAAACTTTCCAAGCTGAGGTATACCTAGAAAAGCATCTATGATCGGCTAAGTCATCTGAGTATTCTCAAGTGCTTTTCAAATACAGCTTTGACTCTGTCTAAAATCTGCTTCTTGAATTGCCCTGGAAAAGGTATCTTAGGCTGATAAGGAGGTGGTGGAACATAAGGATTTTCAAGCTCAGGTGCCTTCTCTACCTCTTTAGCCTTGTCTTTAACCGGTTCCCTCTCTAAAACTTCATCTTGTTGCTCATCCTTTGAGGCTCCCTCCCCACCAATCTGCTCATTGTCCTCAATGAGCTTTTGCTTAGGCTCAGAAGCTTGTAGTTCTTTGCCACTTCTCAATGTGATGGCATTAACATATTCTTTGGGATTTGGTTCCGGTTTTCTAGGTAAAACTGGTCCTCTTGAAAATGTGGAAGCTTGATTCTGCTTAAGCTCCCTGATATCTTGCTGCATGGACGCATACTGACTCTCGACCCTTTATTGACTCTGTAGCAACTACTGTAGAAGCCCACACATATCTGGTCCCATCTGACTCTGAACCGGTGCCTGCTGCTGCTGACCCATCAACTGTGGACTGAACCCTGGTGGAAACGTATGTTGCTGCGGTTGGCTGTTACAGTTACTACCCTGAGCCGGTTGTTGCTGCTGTCCAAAGCTCTGTTGTTGCCCACTGAGCTGCTGCTTGGGCTGAAAACTATTCTGAAATTGAGGCTTAGGAGCATAGCTTTGTTGTTTTTTGTTGAGGGGGGTAAACCTGATCTTGGGGATTTGCTACATTGGGGTTGCGGTAAGAGAGGTTCTGGTTGGTTCCATAGTTGTTGAACCGCTGATACCTTTGTTGATTCCCAATATAGTTAATCTCTTCTTGTGTGAGACCATCCTCATTCACATTTTCAAAGCTCGGCCCTTGCTCATCAAACTCGCCTACAAAGTGTATTGGCTTTTTTTTGTAGCCACAAGCACTTTGTCTAGCTTGTTTTGTAGCTCCTTGATGTCTTTTTCCATTCACAACTCTTTACTAGACCCATCTGATCTATTGGCCCTGTCGAAATCCTCACCATAAGTATCATTTGACATCGCAAGATTCTTTACTAGCTCCATTGCTGCGTTTATCTCCTTCCCAAGAAAGTTCCCATTTGATGCTGTATCAAGTTGGTTCCTTATTTTTGGAAGGGCACCTCGGTATAAAGTGCTTAGAAGAGAAGCCTCGGAGAAGCCGTGGTGTGGAAATTGGTTACTGTGGCTTCTAAACCGCTCCCAAGCCTCATCAAAGCTTTCACTGGTGTGTTGTGTGAAGCTTGAGATCTGATTTCTCAGCTTAGACGTCCTTGAAGTGGAGAAAAACTTTGACAAGAAGGCAAGCTTGCACTGCTCCCAAGTCTATATAGTTCCCCTTGGAAAATTCTTCTCCCATTGATGCGCTTTATCACCAAGACTAAATGGGAACAAGCAGAGTTTGAAGCTGTCTTCTGATACCCCGTTTATCTTTGTGAGGTCACAAGCAAGATCAAACTGATCAAGGTGCTATAAAGGATCCTCCATGGGCAAACCGTGAAACTTGGATTTTTGCACCATATTGAGCAGGGAAGCTTTAACTTCAAAGTTGTTGTTTTGCACAAGTGGTGCTTGGATCCCGGCTCTATACTGATGTGCATTAGCTCGGTCGTTTTCACCAACAAAAACTGGTGGAGGTTGCCTTTGAGCTGGCGGCGGAGGCTGAGGAACTTGCTGTGCTTGTTGCTAATTTCGGTTAGCCTGTTGCTGGTTTTGCTGAGCCTGCCTCTCATTACGCTGAGGCAAATTTTGATTGACATAGGCTTGTTGTTCGTTCCTGTCGGCCTGCGCTTGGTTAAGATGTGCCTGGTGCTCGGCGTTTTGAGCCTGTTGCTCTATCCTCTCCTGATCAGCCATACCCAACCGTTCTTGATTCACAGCCCTCTCTCTAGCTCTTCTCAAGTTGATGTTGTTGTTGTAAGGCTGAGGTGGCTCTATGCTTCTAGAGCGATTTTGCATGTACCTGATCACTCTAAGACAGAACTTGAAAACGATTAGTAAAAACAAGAAAGGTAAAGGCTTGATCTCAAGAACAAGCAAAAACTAATGCTTCCACAACTCGGCAACGACGCCAATTGATAACTAAGACTTTTGGGTCTTTAAAGAGGTATAAATCCCCTGTAGTTATAGTACAAGGGGTATCGAATCCAAGCTTGTGGTAGACACTAGTTTAAGATGCTCATAACTTAAGTCAAGCGCAATCAAGAAAGAGTTTTGATTTCTAGACTACTAAGCAAAGATGCATATAAAAAGACAAATAAACAAGACAGATATGCGTTTGATGTATGAATGATGAGATAGAGGTTTTAGATAGGATAAAAGACGTGGGTGCTTTCCACACTAGACTAGCGAACTAATGAATCAAATGATCAAGCAACTTCATTTAACATGAACTCAAAGACAAGTTAATCCTCTCATGAAGGTATTAAGCTTCTAAACTGATCCTCTTTCATACCAAAATCCCTTTTGAGAAGCATGAATTAGCAAGCATTAAGAATCAGCTCAAAAAGTCATTTAAGAGAAGCAAACTACCATTATCATGATGAAAGACTCTTAAACCTCTAACCGACTGGTTCAGACATTTCTACAAACACTTTTGGTGGGAGAACATGTGTTAGATCTGGACCGCATGTGATGTGCATGGATCCAGCTTAGAGTTCTGTTCGGTTAGAGAATGAAATATGCAGATCTAGAACCTAAAATCACTAATATAGTGTTTGAGAACCCTAATCTACCTATCTAAAACCTCATAAATGGACTACTCACTAATCATGAAAAGCTCACTTAATCCTTTGCAAGATGTGAAGCTAGACATGGTTAGAAGCTTTGATGATGATGAAAAGAAATAAAAGAGAACAAGATCTTTACGTAAAAACGAGATATCTGATTAAGAAGCAAGTTTTCACAAAAGAGGCAAGTTCTCAAAGATAAAAACAGGATAAGAGATAAGATCTGTAGGGTTTTAGTCCTAAAAACTATATATAGTGAAGCTAAGTGATGCGGGTCAGCCCGAAACAAACCGGGTACTGAACCGGTCTTCTTGGGTCGTTGGGTGAGCACCTCGATGTGTGAGAGAGTGAAGCTGAGGTCTTGATGTCAAGGGGTGCACGTGAGCAAAGATCAAGATGAAGATCTCATGAAAAACTCATCAAGAACATGCATGAACCCTAGTCTTCGATTCAACTTCACGTGCACTCTTTGAACCAACATGTTCTAGAATCTGAGTTCATGACAAGGGACCTCGGCATAGCCATGCCGAGGGGCTTGGTAGTCGAGGGATCAAGGCAGATGAGGTCCGACATGCAATGCCGAGGTCTTGAGGCCGAGGTTTAGCTCCAACACTTAGTTGTTTTCAGCTTCGTTTCTTCAGCATGCATGCCTCGTCTTGATACACAGAGGCGTTAGCACGAGGTCTGGACCAAAAAGCTTCAGGGAAAGGGCATCGGCTTAGGCAATGTCAAGGGAACGACACTGAGGCCTGTATAAACACATAGCACGTATCGCAAATTTTTTACACAGTTTTGTATCTGGATGTAATCTTTTTGGTTCTCCCACGGCACTCGCAATGAACCCCAAACCACTCCAATAATACATTGAGTGCAGAACGTTCCTCAGAGTAACCCACATAGGGATTGTTGTTATTTCCGGCTGAACTTCCAGGTGAGTTAAATATTTCACATAGTTTTAATGTTGCTGACTTGTCTCCTTATGATGCAGGTTAATCTGTTTTGAGGACAAAACCTCTTGAAGAGGGAGGGAATGATGAGGTCACCGAACCAACACCAAACCAAACACTAGTTCCCGAGCTCAAAGAAGCACCAATGACCAGTTCCAAAGCAAGAAGGCTTAGAGAAGGGTACAGTTTGGCTGTAGAATCATTACTAAGCACCATCGAGCTTGGAGGTGCATTAAAAACCGAATTCTCAAGAGCAATACACGCGAAACAGCCCCAAACGACCCGATTTAGACATAATGGAAGGTTTTGCGCGTTTGAACCTCAAAGAGATCCAGCCTCAACAAGAACAAGGTATAAATGTTTACTTGGTAGGAAATGGAGCACGAAACACTAAGAATCTCGAAGAGACCGCCTCGGAGCTTCAAGATACAACCGTTTCAAGACATGAAGCCCATAGCGAGCAAATAAGACAAGAAGAAGGACATGAAGCAGAACACAAAGATAATTTAAGAACTCACAGGATACGACGTTAGCAGGACTCTAGACGAAGGGAACATCAAGACTAACAAGCAACATGGGCCAGAACGCGACTCAATCAACTACACAACAAGCAAGTCCACAACTGGCCTTAATCAGGTATTTTCAATTTATACGATCTGTGCAGGTAACATGGAAGTATCCTAGTGGTGTCTAAAACACTAGAGAGCGTCAGAGTTCCATGGAACAAGTCCATAAAAGCTTTCACGTAGTTAGTTTCTTATTTTTTGATTTTTAAGTGAACTTTCTATTTTTGTGTCCAAATGAGACGCTTTGCCATTTTTGTTTTATTTCTTTTACAAGTACTGTTGTTTTGAGTCTTTATTGTCGTTTTTATTTTTAAGTGTCAAACCCTAGAAAGTTCAAAGCTGACGGACTATTTATAAAGTCCCACACGCAGCTGTTGTACTTAACCTTTTACCCTATCAATAAAATAACGCTGTTCTTCTTAGCTTTGCTTAAACCTTTTACCCTATCAATAAAATAACGCTGTTCTTCTTAGCTTTGCTTAAGAGTTCATCTTTGCTTGATCTTGTGTGTGTGAATCACCGAGATCCAAGTTCGCAGTATCAGATACCCTCACATCATCTCTGTAGTGACTTCGATCCACTTCACAAAAATTCACCGATCCCTCAAGAGAGAGTGTCAAAACCAGCTTGACAGATCCCATCTCAATTCAAGCCTTGCGGAAACAAGTCTTGTCTTACCATTCTCACCCACTGATCCACACGAGATAGTGTGAAAGCCAGCGTGTTGATCCCACCAAGCAATTGATTCCGTGATCTTATAAGCCTCTCCCGAGTCTTATATCAAAGTGGAAGTGTCCAACAGGCAAATCAAAGCTATTTTAGAGAGCACTGTAAGCTTCCCACGAAAAGATTGGAGCAAGAAGCTTGATGATGCACTTTGGGCATATAGAGCATCTTTCAAGACACCCATAGGTACTTCACCTTTCAATCTGCTTTATGGGAAGAGCTGCCATTTACCTGTGGAACTCTAGTACAATGCTCTATGGGCTGTCAAATGCTTGAATTTTGACATCATGACCGCCCAGGAGAAGAGACTTATCCAGCTACATGAGTTATAAGAGATCAGACTTGATGCTTATGAGAACTCAAAGATCTACAAAGAAATGACCAAAACTTTGCATGATCAGAAAATCTTAAAGAGAGAGTTTAAAAAAGGAGATTTGGTCCTCTTATTCAACTCAAGGCTTAAGCTGTTTCCTGGTAAACTGAGGTCAAGGTGGTTAGGTCCATTCAAGGTTCTTTAAGTGAGAAGTTATGGTGCTTTGTTTCTTGAAGGAAAAGATGGGAAGGTTTTGTTGTTAATGGGCAGGGGGTCAAGCACTACTTGGTATCAGGAAAAAAAAAGAGAGCTACCATAGTCTCTCTTGATGATCCCTCAACCGAGTAATGGGTATGAAAAGTCAAACTTAGTGACATTAAACAAAGTGCTCTTGGGAGACACCCCAAGCTTATCCTTGTATATACTTTTCTTTTGATCTTTCTTTTATGTTTATTTGGAATATTTTGAGGGTTTTGTTAAGTGGTCTCAGGTTTAGAAGGTCCCCTAGCTTGTTGGAATGAAGGAACAGTAGTTGGAGCAAGCTTAAGTTGGTCGGCCTAAGATTTTGAAGCAAAGAGCCTACAGCCTTGGCTTGAAAGCCTTAATAATGCTGTATCGAGGGCCAGCCACCGAACAAAAGAGCCAGGGCCTCGAGGTTTTACCACGTGATGGTCTGTACCGAGGCTGTGATGTTTAAGGTCCTGGAGACTAAGTATGGGACATGACCTCAGTACAAAAGCCTCGGTATAAGCCAGGACAAGGTGCTTTGAAGGTTCAACCGTATGAAATGTGCAATACCTCGGGCAAGTACCTCGTCATGATCACTACAGATGCTTCGAGTTTGTTCTTCCAGAGGCTAAGTACAGAAGCCAGCCTCGGCCTTGATGCCTCGGTACGGCAAGCCGAGGTAAATTCACCGAAAGAAATGTTGAAAACCTCGACCAAACACCTCGAGGTGGTGCACACCGAGGCCTTGGGACCAAAA